ATTACATAGAATAAAGACACACAAATATCAAACTTGAATCACATTTGAATCTATAAGATAATAAATATAAACAGTTATATCTATCTAATTTTCAAAAATTAAAAGCATATGATTATAAATAACGAACATCCGCGCGGGCATGAGTTAATTTTCTACATAACTGATTTGGTTTATCACAAAGAATTAGGAATAAACTGTTCATATATATATATATATATATATATATATATATATAATATATATATGTATAATTATTGAATTAGAAAGTGGAAACAAATAATTATTAATTTTACCATTTTTGGAACTATGTAAGATCTCATTGTCAACTAGTTTACTTTATGGTCCTACACTCGTTGGTGAGGAATTTCGACCCCTCCTCCCCGAAGTTCCCGTATAGGGTAAGTTATGGAATCAAAATAAATCATTTTTGGGATTGAAAATTTCTATGTTTTCACTTATATTTATAGAGGTCAATAAGTTCTATAAAAATATGATATATTGAACTAACCCAACTTCAGGGAATTGAGTATTGAATCTTTATAGAGAAAGAAGAAGAAAAGCTATGTGAAGGGAATTGACAATCAGTGGATGTCAAGGGCCACACCCACATGTGACCTTGATAACGAGACAACAATAGAAATGATATCATGTGTGCTTGTAATTATTTTTTTTCACAAAAAAAGAAGTGCAACTTTCGTAAAAGGACTGGTTATCCACTGTCATTTATAATGATGCAATCAATCATCATCTATTCGCTGTAAATAGCATGTCTTCTATAGGTATATGTACTCAATTATACGATTATCCGGTTATATAGTTTGCAAATCACAAGGCGAAAAGGTCTACAGGTGGCCGTAGGGCTGGGCATCATTACTCGTTATTCGTCTTAAACTCGATATTTGACTCGTACTCGTCTTAAAAATTCAAGTACTCGGTGTTGTCAAAGCAAGTAACAAGGCGACAATTTTCATTACTTGCAAGACTAAGTCAAGTATCAAGTATCATTATTATTTTTTGTAATTGACTCGTTTCGCCCCGTTACTTATTCCATTACTTGATATTTGTTACATGATCTATTACTTAGTTTTTTATATTTGTGTTTTCTTTTACTTGCATTTAGGATTGGACATAAATACTCACTATTCTTCTTATATTTATTACTTATTTCGTATCCAATCTTGATTTTTGAATACTCATCATTATCTAGTCAAGTAATACATAGCAACAAATATTAAAAATTTAGTTATATGATTTTTATTACATGTTACTTATTTAGAGAAGACATTCTTGTTATCGTGATCATTATACAATGTTTATATATCGTAATATGCATTTTTTAATTTATCCTTTTTATAATATGAATAAATATTCTGTTTAAAGTAATTTACATGTTACTTTAAGTAGAATAAACAAAATAAACTTTCTATGTGTATTTCTAACAGAATATTACTTAGTTGATAGTTCTTAAATATTTCAGAAAAGCTCGTAAATAGTTCACAAGTTCTCTTAAATAGTAAGTAATAGAGCAAGACAAGTAACTTGCAAGTCATTTATTTTTGATCAAGTATTTGAAATAGCAAGTACTCGTTTTAAACAAGTCAAATACAAGTCAAAAATTTTATTATTTGTATAAGGCAAGTCAAGTCGCAAGTATGTGCAAAATAGTAAGTATTCGCCTTGCGTTGTACTTTTTCAGTTTCTTGTGAAAATAGGTTTTCCAATGCAATATTCTGAATTTGTTATGTAAAGTGGTAAAATGTTTTAATTATAAAGATAAAAAAATCCTGCAATTGATTATGAGCTAGTTAGTTAAATTCGATTGTGTCATTATGTATTCTTGAAATGGAAATTATAATTGCATTTATCATTGGTTTTTAATCGATTATGAACACACAAATGTGTTAAACCCTTTATAAGAAACACACAAATGTGTTATAGCCAAAAAAATATTTGAAGATCAGAAAAGTCATGATGGCCCATCTCGGCGGTGGAAAGAGACACAAGTGCAACCGCGTGAGTAAACTTTAATTGTATCCATGAGATTTTTTGTCACGGTTATATCCAAAAATAAAAATACTAATATTTTTGGTATTTCAACTGTTTTTTATATGTTAAAATAGAAAAATCTATTTTGTTGTGGATGTGCTTGTGGAGAGGAAACTTTTGTTGTTGTGTGTTCTACTAGTCGGGACCATGAACTTGAAAGCTACACGAAGTTGATTTAACCACGTGTCCGTGGTCGGATGGTAGTATAGTATTCTATGGATTCTATGAGATCTGAGTTCAAATCCGTCTACATTCAAATTATCATAGTACGTGATCACTGGAGCTTTCACATTAACTCTCTAAAAAATAATTTACTATTTTTTTTTACACAAAGTTGATTTAGAAAAGAAGTTTATACAAAGTTTTCTTTTCTACAAAGTTTACGGTATCGCACAAGATAACTTATAACCCTAAATGGACTTTAGCACTTAACACTGCAAAAAAAAATGAATTGTATTACCTAAATTACATCACAAAAATAAATGATACTATTTTAAATCACTTATTTACAAATGACACAAATATAAATAATTCAAAATCAATTACAAGAACTGATGTTATTATTAATTAAACTAACATCAATTCAATAAAATGATGTAATGTGTACTGATTTGTATCATGTTTGCTGTATTGATATAATATTTTTAATTTATATCGATTGAATAACTGATACATTTTTCTTTTGTTTAACATCATTTATTAGACTGATACAAAACATACATTAATAATAAACTGATACTAACCAATTACTTTTTGTTTATCGTTAATTAAATAAAATGGTGTTAGGTTATCTCATTGCACCACTTAATTGTTCTAATATAAAACTTCAAAAAAAAAAAAAGAATCAGCCTAACTTACCTGATATACGTGATGTTAGTTATGATTTCTGTGATTTTAATTTCTTTATAATTTTTTTAATTAACCCACGTTCTTCTATAACTGTTTTATGATCTCAGTAAAGATCTATTATTCCTTTTTAACACTCTCACTCATGTGTTCGTCTTCTTCTCTATTTATTTAACTTTTTCTTAAGATTTATAAAGAAAAAATCAACAAGTACATACAAGTCAAGATGAGAATGACTGTATTTCTTCTTTGGGAGGAAACAAAGTTCTGGCAAAGGTGGACGAATCTGATAACAGAAGGTATTATTTTGCTTTTGTTCCTCTTGTTATAGTTTTCTGTTTTAGAGAAGAAAAAATTATTTGTACCTGTTAGTGGTTTACTAATTTTTTTATTTATTAGAAATCATCTTTTCAGCGGCAAATGCAGAACCCCTTGCACATTTAGAAGAATAGAAGCTGTGTAAAAAGTGTTGATGGAGATTTCTTCTTGATGAATCTTAATAACTTCCCAACTGGATCGACTCAACTTCAGATTACTAATGGAGAATGAAGAAAAAACAAAGAACTATAACTTTTTTAGTTTTCAAAAAAAAATTCTGTATGAAGTCATCTTGTTTCTTCTTTCTGTTTTTTTTTTTGGTATTAGCTATGTATATCTTCTTCTTTTTCGTGTTCTACAGATTGTAAGTTCAATTAAAAATAAATGGAAATTTTAAATTAATTAATGTACTGAAATTAATTTTGACGTCAAATATCCAAATCAATTTTAGAAATAAGGGTAAATTATAAAACTATATAAATTAATTTCAATAACTAATATTAGATTTACTTCGGTTGTTTATAAATGATATAAATATTGGAAATCAGTTATCATAATTGATGCTAATTAACATCATTTTAAAATCAATGCAAATGTTACTATCACATTTTTTTATAACTAATACATATTAACGTCAGTTATAGTAATTGACACAAATATTTAACATTTTCACATCAGTTATGAATAAAATGATACAAACTATTTGCATCACCAAAGAAAAGTCATTTATTTAAGTGATGTAAAATGTTTTTACATCATTTATAACTAATACAAATACAGAAATTAAATTATTTAAACTAACTTTTTTTTGTAGTGTAATAATTATATTTCTACAGTGTCAAGCAGAGAATAATGACATCTTTATCTCACAACCCCTATATTAGGGGTTTTATTATTATTTTTTTCTGAAAAAAGAAATTAAAATTAAAATTCTAATTAATTGCGGATCGCCATATGTCAATGGAATCCGCAAACAGTACAAAAAATGAAGAAAATATGTTTCTTATTCTACACACTGAAGAAGTGTTTTTTCTCTTATCGGTGAGACGCACTAATTTTTAACAATTTTTTTTTAAACTCCCAAGGCTTTTGGTGTTCTAAGAGCATCTTTAACGCAAATACCCAATCTGGATTTCTTTTTTTGTTTTTTTTTTATTTTCTTCTTTCTGTTTAAAAAAATTAAAACGAGCCAATCGAAACAGTGCAAAACCCGTATGTTATTTGGCAAAAGAAAGCTACGTCTCTTCCTTTTTTGTGGGCTCCACTCCACTTTTTCTTCCTAAAAGACCTTTTAAATACATGCGTTGAAGATGCTCCTAATAACCCTTTTGTCCGAAAGCTTTATAAAAAGAACAAAAAAACTGGATGAAAGGTGATATGATGAGATATCTTTGGAGATGTCACTAAAATCAAAAGACAGAAGGGTGATGAAAGGCTAAAACACAAGTCACAAGTGGCCATACCCAAAATGAGCTGGGTATCACTAAAGAATCAACAACATGAAGATAAGAGAAAACAGACAGGCCCAAAAGTAAACTTAGAAACAGAGTCGTAGGGAAGGATTCTCTGGAAGCTTCTACGAACTTCTCTACACTCCGAGAAGAAAGATCCATCGGCGGTTTTTAATAGCCAACTTCCACCTCTATTCCAGAAAAATAAAGAAATCCATCCACATAAAGGGCAGTTTTTTTTCTTTATTTTTGCTTTCTCTGTGGTTCGAGATATAAAACAAAACATGCAAAGTGAAGAAAAGAAAGAGAGGAGGAGAAGAAGAAGAAGAAGGAGGTCGGATGGGTGTTGATTACTACAAAGTCCTCCAAGTCGACCACAACGCCACCGACGATGATCTGAAGAAATCTTACAGGAAACTCGCCATGAAGTGGCATATGGACAAGAACCCAAACAACAAAAAAGATGCCGAAACCAAGTTCAAGCAGATCTCCGAAGCTTACGAGGTTTGTATGATTATGTTTGAAGTCATGTAATTAGTTTGTATTCTTATGGTGTTTCTGATAATATTCATGTTACTTGTTGGAAGCAGTCACACCGAGAAGTTAGGAAGAAGTTGAAGAAGTTGAACGAGTCTTGCGGTACAAGTTAGTCTTAGTTTGTTTCTAGTTTGTTTTCAATAAGACCTATTTTCTCGGTCAATTAGTGGTAGCAGTAATCATGTTCTGTTGCAGTAGTTTTAGGCTTTTCTAGTTGATTGTAAAGGCTATATATAGCCATGTTATCATTGAATGAGTATGCAAGTTTCCAATATCTAAACAAAGAGCATTTGATCTAAGAAATTGGTATCAGAGCTCCGTTAGACATTAAAACTTGAGAAAGGAAAGCAGTAAAAGAGAAAAGAAAGATGGGTGATGATAAGATGAAGTTACCTCAGTATGATGGTCATTGGGATCATTGGAGTGAAGTTATGGTGAACTTCTTCCGAGCCAAGGGATTATGGGACGTGGTTGAAACAGGGTTTGAAGAACCAGGAGTCACCACGGTACTGACAGCAGATCAGAGTGTGCAGCTTGAGAGTGCCAAGACAAATGATCACAAGGTGAAACATTACCTTTATCAAAGCATTGATAGGGTAACGTTTGAGCAAATCTTGGACAGGAGTTCCTCCAAGATCATATGGGATTCGATGAAGTCAAAGTTTGGTGGGAATGCTCGAGTGAAAAGGTCGCTGCTGCAGAAACTGAAGAAGAGATGAGAATGGCAATGGTAACACAGACGGGGAAGCAAGAAGACAAGAAAAGAAAGGCTTGGTTCCTGGACTCTGGATGTTTAAATCACATGAGTGGTGATCAAGAGCTATTCACGAGTCTGGACACAAACTTCAAGCACTCAGTCAAGTTGGGGAATGACAAGAGACTAGAAGTTGTGGGCAAGGGAAATGTGAAGCTGGCCCTGAATGGTACAACATACACGATCAGCGACGTGTATTACATTCCTAAACTCAAAAACAATTTGTTGAGTCTTGGACAAATGAAAGAGAAGGATGTAACCATCATCATACAAAAAGGTACATGCAAGATGTATCATGATGAGAGAGGACTGATTGTAGAAAGCAAGATGAGCAAGAACAGAATGTTCATGATAATGGATCAGGCTGGTGATGGAGAACTCAAACAACAGAAGTGCTTGCAGACAACCACAGAAGACACAACAAAGATGTGGCATGAGCGCTATGGACATCTCAGTTTCAGAGCTAGGGAATGGTACGTGATCTTCCTTGTTTTGATACTCATCATTTCACTTGTACAGACTGTTTGGTAGGGAAATAGTCAAGGAATCCTATTCCTAAGAAGAGCACGTAGAGAGAAAAAGAGGTCCTAGAGCTCATACATTCCGACATATGCGGTCCGATCAGTCCCATGACCACAAGTGGGAAGAGATATGTCTTGTGTTTCATAGATGATTACAGCCAGAAAGGGTGGACTTACTTTCTGAAGAAGAAGTCAGAAGCATTTGAGCACTTTAAGATATTCAAGAAGCTGGTAGAGACTGAGACAAGCAAGAAGATAAAGTGCCTGAGAACGGATTGTGGAGGAGAGTACACATCAAACGAATTCTCTAAGTTTTGTAAGGAAGAAGGAGTTAGAAGACAGCTAACCACCGCCTACACGCCACAACAAAACGGAGTGGCAAAGAGGAAGAACCGTACAGTAATGAACATGGTCCGATCCATGTTGTCAATGAGAAAAGTGCCCAAGGTGTTCTGGGCTGAAGCTGTTAACTGGACCTTCTACATCATAAACCGATGTCTCACTCACTCGGTGAAAGATGTAACTCCACAAGAAGCCTGAAGCGGCATCAAGCCAAGTGTGAAACATCTCAGAGTATGGGAAAGTCTAGCTCACGTTCACATTCCAGATGAGAAGCGTGGGAAGCTTGATGACAAGAGCATTACATGTATCATGCTTGGTTTCTCTGACGAATCAAAGGGTTACAGGCTATACAACCCATCAACCAAGAAGATAACAGTAAGCAAAGATGTTGTGTTTAAAGAAACAAAAGGATGGAACTAGGAGGAAGATCAAGACAATAATGAGGTTGAGTTGACTTGGAATGATGAAAATCACATTTGGGAAGAAAGTGATAGCGAAGAAGAAGAAGGTAGAGTGAGAACTAACGAAGAAGAGCAACCTGAAGAGGTCACATAGGAGACCACCGAGGAAACAAAACAACCAGGAAGAACTAGGGAGGGACGTGTGATAAGACCTCCTCGCTACCTGAATGATTTATCACTGGAAGTGAAGCAGATGAAGATGAAGACCTCGTTAATATGGTGGAAGAAAACTCATCTGATCCAGTTTCATTTGAAGAAGCAGAAAAGAGTTTCAAGTGGAGAGAAGCCATGAATGAAGAAATAAAAGCCATTGAGAGGAATGAAACGTGGGAACTCACAGAGCTACCAAGAGGAGCAAAGTTCATTGGTGTCAAGTGGATATACAAGACAAGGCTCAATGAAGTTGGAGAAATGAGCAAGTACAAAGCTCGTCTAGTGGCTAAAGGGTATTCTCAAGAACATGGCATCGACTACACCGAGGTATATGCCCCTGTTGCTAGGATGGACACTATAAGGACCATCATAGCGACTGCTGCAAGGAAGGCTTGGGATATCTATCAGCTGGATGTTAAGTCGGCATTCCTCCATGGAATTCTTGAAGAAGTCATGTATATCCAACAACCAAAGGGATATGTAATCAGAGGTGAAGAAGACAAGGTCTACAGACTTCACAAGGCGTCGTATGGGTTAAAACAAGCACCAAGAGCTTGGTTTAGCAGAATCGAAGAGTACTTTGCCAAGGCAGGTTTTGAGAAGTCTGAAAATGAAGAAACTTTCTTCATCAAGACACACATACATGGCAATTCCTTTTATGTCAGTTTATATGTAGATGATCTAATATACACAGGAGGTGACATGGAGATGATTGAAGAATTTAAGCTGTCAATTAAGACGGAGTTCGAAATGACTGATCTTGGCAAAATGAGGTACTTTCTTGGGATTGAAGTATTACAGACATCTCTTGGAATTCACATATCTCAGGCACAATACGCTCTTGAGGTGCTGAGACGTTTTGACATGGAGAATTGCAACTCTGTTTGTAATCCCATTGTACCTAGAAGCAAGCTGGATTTAGACAATGGAGGAGAGCTGGTAGATGAGACTTTTGATATACCATGATTTTGACCCTTTTTTGGTCATGGTATTGATATGTTTTTTATGATAATATTCTATGTTTTGGAGTCTATTAGGTATGTTTTCATGTTCAGGAGCATTTTGGAGTAAAGTGATGATTTAGGTTCCTTATGGAGCTTAAAGGAGAGTTTTCCAAGATGACTATGAAGATCCGACAATAAGAGACACATATCAATCGATACACACCTTGTGTACTCGATCGATGACGCTTCCGTGGAAGTTGAAGTCGAGATACTCCATCGATCGATGTACACCATGTACCATCAATCGATACAGAGCGTGATGAGCAAGATTTACTTGGCCAACTTGAAGCCCAAGTTCTCCCCAAATTACAAGATTGCCCCTGACGAGTTTTTAACCTAATTGTACTCATATTTATAGTTATGCCTAAGTGCTTTAGCAAGAGGATCGAAGTTTTTGTAATCTTTTACTATTCTATACTTAGCAATAAAGTATTTTCTTTTCNGTGCTTTAGCAAGAGGATCGAAGTTTTTGTAATCTTTTACTATTCTATACTTAGCAATAAAGTATTTTCTTTTCATCTTATTCTTTTGCTATGAATCACTTGGCTATGTCTGAGTAGATTCATTTGTTAGATTTAGGGTTCAAATAGTTATGAGGGATTAGCCCCAACTATTGAGTGTTGAGTTGTTATATTCATTATCAAAATGAACCCTAATGCTTACTCTAGATTAGCTACCTAGAGGTATGATTATGGAGTGACTAATCTAATAGTCATTATCCTGAAATCATTTGTCTAAGCTCAGATTCTATTAAGCACGTGTGCTAGACGGTCTAATAGAAATTCTCGGGTGAACACAGTTTCAATTCGATCCGATTCTATGTCGATCGATACTCCTATAGAGTAATCGATCGACGGCAACATATATCGATCGACACGGCGATAGCAACATCGATCGATACTGTCGGCAATCAGATCAGTGGACGAGTCTAACTAGCGACAGCTATAGATTTGTCTAAGGATTGAAGTTCTCATATATTTGCAAGCAATTCGTTAAGACATCCATAGATTTATAATCCTGATTTTCTGAATAGTAACCTTGAATCTAGCTACTTTCTTTTACTGTTTTAAAACCCAAAACCTATTCTCTTGAGCAACTTAACCCTGCTCACAACTTTTATTTATTGCTTTTAAACCTAATCAACCTAGCTTAATCACTTAGGATTATATCTTTTGTGACTCTAGTTCCTTGTGGATTTGATCCCTAAGTACTACGATTGAACCTCTTATTTGAGAGAGTAATTCACTCCTTAGGGTTAAACATTTGAGTGATATTAAATTAGGCGCCGTTGCCGGGGAACGAAGATTACTATTAGATTTAATCTTATTCAGTCTAGGTTATTTGTTACTTTTTATTTTTCAATCTTTTGACACAAAAGTTTTTCTTCTTTTCTTGTCTTTTTCAGGTACATGCCCAGCAGTACTAGAAGCAACAAGGACAAACAACTTTTGTGCTCAAAAGATCCCAAACGTTTGGAACGTAGCATCTGCAAAGACATACGCTCCACATCGATCGACACCAACCCCTCTCTCTCGACCGATATCCGCTTACCACCGTCGACCAACAACCGTTCGTCGACCGATACTCTCACCGCCTCATCGATCGACAACAACAACCTTTCGTCGACCGATACCCTTCACTTGACATCGATCGATACACCTCACCCTACATCGATCGATACTAACCGGTGAGACATGGTAGCGCCTATGATTCTCATACCCGATGAGAATGG